TGTCCCTGCCTGTGGGATGGAGGAGCTTGAAGGCCATCCCAAGCCAAAGCAGTGTGTGTTCCATGATGCTGGGATGCTGAGGGCCTTCAGAGCAGAGCACAGGAACGGAGCAATGGGAGGAAGGTGCAGCATCACCCCAGCCCCACAGCTCTGGCGTGCTGTCCCCTGTCCCCCTGCCCCACAGCTCCCTCCCAGCCACCTGGAGAAGTCCCTGACAGAGACAGTAATGGTTGAAATTTCTCTCATTATAAGTCATGGAAAGAGAAATGTTCAATTTTAACTGTGATGCCTAATGAAGATTTATTTATGTGGGAATAACCACTCTTCCTTGGAGTAACTGGGTTATTTTTTCATGACCACTAGACCTTAGATCAGCTCCTCATTTCTTTCCATACCCACAGAGGGCAAGAAATAGCCATACTTGGTCAGTGAGGAAATGAAATTAAATGCAAATAGACATGCACTGACTAAATCTGAGTTTCCCAAGGTTATTATTTCCCTAAATGCCAAGTCCCTGGGGTGAAGGAGGGGCAGCATCAGCCTGGGCCAGGGCTGGCAGTGTGGGGGCTCAGCCTGGCCCATGGGCAGTGCCCTGGGCCTGAGGATGGGCACCAGCACTGGGAACACTGGCAGGCCTGGAGGCACTAATGAGCATGGGAAGCGTGTTAAACTGGTTCTATCTCCTTTGGAACCACCCAGTGCCACCCCTGACACAGGCAGGGACACCTTCCCCTGTCCCAGGTCACTCCAAGCCCTGTCCAGCCTGGCCTTGGGCGCTCTCAGGGATGAGGCAGCCCCAGCTGCTCTGGGCACCCTGTGCCAGGGCCTGCCCACCCTGCCAGGGAACAATTCCTCCCCCATACCCCATCCAACCCTCTCCTATCAGTATGAAGCCATTCCCTTGTCCTTGCCCTGGCTCAGCTAAGGACACATCTCAGCCAGAGGCACACTGCTTTCTGCTTCATGCTTGGCTTTTCCTAAGGAAGCTGCTCTCTGCAGGGCAGGATAAAGACACCCAGCAGGACACACAAACCAACGGGACACACAAACCTGCTGTGAGACCCAGCAGTGCTGTGGGCACCACCCCTGCCCAGGCTCTGGTGGCCCTGGTGCCCAGGCAGCTGCAGGCACAGTGACAGCTCCTGGCACGGGACAGCACTCCTGCTGACTCACCCAGTACAACTCCTGCCTAGAGCAGTTTTTCCATAAAAATAAACCCAGCCCTAATAAATAAATGCATTCCCATCGTAAAAGCCCGATTGGTGGCTGGGAAGGAAGAGCCTGAGCCCGGCAGCAAAACAATTTCCCTCTGGATTGGAGACTGGACTGTGCTCCAGGAAAAGCACACCAGAAGGAGCCCATTTCCCTGGGAGGGGACAGGGGGACCAGCACCGAGGCGGGGGGACCCCAGCCCAGCACAGCCACTGCTGCAGCAGCTGGGAAGGAGCAATGCTCACTCACCAGGGGGATTTAGGAGCTGGCCCAGCTCCTGGCAGAGCAGACCTGGGGGACACACGAGCATTTAGCAGGGAGCCAAGGGCTTTTGTAAACAGAAGCTCAAACAAACATCTCTCATTTCACAGATGGTGCTCACAATTTACAGCTGGCACATTTAAAGGCCACCTCGGACACATCAGTGCTCACAGCCACAAGAAATGCCCTAGGCCTGCAGCCTCATCATTTGCACTCCAAGGAGCCTCCCTCTGAAATCCACAGGAGTTATTTCTACAGAAATGTCAGTAGGATATTCTGAATCAATATATCATCAGAATGCCCCAAATCCTTTTTCTGCAGCTTCCCAGTTTGGGTGGGCACAGGCTCCCGATGGGCTCGTGGGGGCTGCCAGGAGAGATCCCCTCCTGAACAGCTCCCCAGCGCTGCAGCCCTTGTCCACAGCTAAAAATCACAGAAAATTGTGAGGAACACAAGGAAAACCCCAAAGTCCTGAGGCAGAGTTCAGGGATAGGTGTCACAGGACCAGCAGAGGATCTGGCAGTGTTTGAAGCAGCACAAACCCCGAGACACCTCCAGACCCTCCCATGGCCACAGACCCTAAATGTGGGCAGGTGATTCCAGGGCAGCCCCAGAACCCCACACAGCAGCAGCAGCTGCCCCAGCCCAGGGCACAGTGCGTGGCTGCCCGGGGCTGCCTGCAGAGCCCACATTTCTCAGCTGCCTGGCCAAACAGAAGTGGCTTTATGGACACAGGATTTGGGCAGCCCGCAGAGCAGGGCCAGAGCTCCCGGACACTGGCACCATTCAGACACCCTGCCCTGGCCCAGCCTGCAAACACAGGGCAGGGCTGGGCACTGACCCGCTGCTGGCAGCCTCCTCACCCTCCTCATCCTCACCAAAGCCAGCCCCACCGAGGGCAGAACCCCACGGAGCTCTCACAAACACAGCCCCTGCTCCTGGGCAAGCCAGGGGAGTGACAGCCACACACACTTAGAATAAAATCAAGATAGCTGCTTCATTGAAAGACTGGATTAAAGACATTTGATTTAAACATTTGGGGTCACAGAGAATATTCGCCCTGTGGTAGCCCCCTGAGGATCCATATTTCAAACTTCAGCCCAGCACAGACCAAAACCCTGTGTGCTCCTGCATGTGCAGAAATTATCTCACAATCACTGGGCTTGTGGAAAAGCACCAAATGCCACCAGCAGTGTCAGAGCCATGAGCTGCCAGTGCTGGCCTGCTCAGCCCTGTTTCAGCTCACAGAGCTAAAGGCTCTGGAACTGGCACAAGCACCTGGTTGAGTGCCAGCCTGCTCACCTAATCCCTGGGGAACAGCACGGTGCCTCCGCTCCCCAGAGCCCCACACAGCTTTAACTCGCTTATGCTGCTGAATTCCTCTGCAACTTCCCCTAAGAAAGAAATCATCAGGAAGAGACAACTCTTGGAATCTGAAAAACTGTGAATTTGGCAGCCAATCCTTGTAAGGTCTCAGCAAGACCCAGGCTCACAAACCTCATTCTGTGACAAGACACACCATTTTTTTCCCCTTTGAAGGACAAACTAAAGCAATCCTGTTGAGGAATGGGATGTGACTGACTGCAGAGCTTCAACCAGGCACGAGAGAGAGAAGCATCTTTGCTCTGTATGTATCATATATAAAGCATAGCCTTGATTTAGAGGTGTCCTACCTTTGGGAGGTCTGTCCTGCTGTGGGATGATCCCCATGGAGCAGGCACGGCACAGGGTTGGGCATCCCTGGGTGAGGACAGGCCACTGTGGGGCTGCTGCAGCTCAGGGTTTAGTGGCAGGAGGAAGATGATGGAAGCAGAGCAGATGGTGAAGCTGGATGAAGCCTGTGTCTGTTCCACACTTACCTTCCTGCCTGGAGAGCCTGGCAGGGCCTGGAGCCATCCCAAATGCCAGAGAGAGAGCTGCACCCCAAACCCCAAACCCAACCCAGCCAAGGCAACAGCTCACCATGCCCACAGCTCCTGTCCCAGCACCCACTGGCACCCAGCTACCCCTGGCATGGCCCAGTGGGGACTGGGAGCATCAGGGACTA